CAATGGGATTGCAGAGAGAAAGAACCGTACTCTAACTGATTTGGTTAATGCCATGTTAGAGACTGCGGGACTATCTAAGGAATGGTAGGGTGAGGCTATATTGACAGTATGTCATGTCCTGAATAGAGTGGCCACAAAGAACAAAGAAATTACACCATTCGAGAAATGGGTGAAAAAGAGATTAAATCTCTCTTACCTGCGAACTTGGGGTTGTTTGGCAAAGGTAAATGTGCCAATAAATAAAAAGCGAAAGCTTAGACCAAAGACTGTTGATTGTGTTTTTCTTGGTTATGCTATTCACAGCGTGGGTTATACATTTTTAAACATAAATTCTAGTGTTTCTAAGATGACTATTGATACAATCATGAAATCTAGAGATGCTATATTTTTTGAGAATGAGTTTTTCATGAAAAATGCACCTAGCATGATTGGTCATGAGTTTATAATTCCCCATGAGCATAAAAATTTTACTCCGATAGAACAAACTGAGGAACCCTATATGCAAAATCCTGAGGAGGATGACACTATAGTCACTAGAAAAAGTAAGAAACAGAGGACTACAAAGTTTTTTGGTGATGACTATATTGTGTACCTTGTGGATGATACACCAACGACCATTGAAGAGGCATATTCCTCTTTTAATGCTGACTTATGGAAGGAAGCAGTACAGAGTGAGATGAATTTTGTTATGTCTAATGGAACTTGGGAAATAGTTGATCGTCCCTATGGGTGCAAGCCTATAGGGTGCAAATAGGTGTTCAAGAAAAAGCTTAGGCCTGATGGTACTATCAAGAGGTACAAGGCAAGGTTTGTGGCCAAGGGTTATACTCAAAAGGAAGGTGAGGATTTCTTTGATATTTATTCATCGGTTGCCCGATTGACCACAATTCGAGTTTTGCTTTCCCTGGCAGCCTCTTATGGTCTCATCGTTCATCAAATGGACGTTAAGATAGCTTTTCTAAACGAAGAGTTAGAGGAGGAGATCTATATGGATCATCCGGATGGGTTTGTAGCAAATGGTTAAGAAGACAAGGTGTGTAAATTATTAAAGTCATTATATGGCCTAAAACAAGCTCCTAAGCAGTGGCATGAGGAGTTCGACAGAACTTTAACATCTACTGGCTTTGTTGTGAATGAAGCTGACAAATGTGTGTACTATCGATATGGTGGGGGTGAAGGAGTTATTTTGTGCTTATATGTTGATGACATGCTGATCTTTGGATCTAGCCTCAAAGTGATCGAGGAGGTGAAAGAATTTTTATCTAAAAATTTTGAGATAAAAGATTTGGGAGAGGCTGATGTTATTCTTAATATCAAGCTTCTGAGAGAAGGTGATGGTGGGATAACTCTATTACAATCCTACTATGTGGAAAATGTGCTGAGTCGCTTTGGGTTTAGTGAGTGTGCACCTGCTCCTATACCTTATAACCCGAGTGTGCTATTGAGGAAAATCGGAGAATAGCAAGAGATCAGTTGAGATATTCTCAGGTCATTGGTTCGCTCATGTATTTTGCTAGTGCAACAATGCTTGACATCTCATTTGCTGTGTGCAAGCTGAGTCGGTTTGTGTTAAACCCAGGAGATGATCACTAGCGTGCTCTTGAGAGAGTGATGCGCTATCTAAAAGGCACCATGAGCTATGGTATTTGTTATACCGGACATCCGAAAGTGCTAGAAGGCTATTGTGATGCCAACTGGATCTCTGATGCTGATGAGCTTTATGCCACAAGTGGAGATGTGTTTTCGCTTGGAGGTGGCGCTGTTTCCTGGAAGTCTTGCAAGCAGACTATCTTAACGAAGTCTACAATGGAAGCAGAACTCACAGCATTAGACACCGCTGGCTCTGAGGCCGAGTGGCTTCATGATCTCCTTATAGATTTACCGGTTGTTGAAAAATCCATACCGGCTATTTCTATGAACTGCGATAACCAGACAGTGATTACAAAGGTTAACAGTTCTAAGGACAACATAAAGTCCACAAGGCATGTTAAGAGACGACTAAAATCTATCAGAAAATTAAGAAACTTCGGAGTAATAGCGTTGGACTATCTTCACACGTCTAACAATCTGACAGATCAGTTCACTAAGGGTCTGTCACGCAATATGATAGAAAGTGCATCGAGAGAGATGGGTTTGAGACCCACTTGAAATTTACTATAGTGGTAACATATTCTATGTGATCGAAGATCTCGTAAAGTAGAATGGTGAAACAAACTAGTAGTAAATTATGAGAAAAAAATACTTAGTAAGACTTATTTATGATGCATATTTTTCTATCTGTAAGACAGGTTGGTTTTTACTTTAATGTGTTCCAAGTGGCTTGCTAAAACAAAGATATTGTCCTACAGAACATCTTTTGAGGAGCACACCTATATGAGTCAGACTGCTGGTCACAGTCTATGAGATTTGGGTGATCTCTAAATACTCATAAAAGGCACTGGAGTATGACTTATATGCTTCAAATAGAGGGGATGCCTTTTACAGCAAAGTATTAGCTAAGAACTGTAGTGACATTCACCTCACACAAAACTTACAATTCAAGGCTTAGTCCATTGTTCAGTTGTGACTAAGTAAAACTATTGCTCTAGATGGATGTTTAACTTAACAGTCTTCATCGAAACACTGGTATATAAAAGAAATGTGGTTCTGAGACTAATTTGTTACAAACCCTAGAGTTTGGTGGGAATTATTGGATATATTATGGGCTTGGCCCATATAATATTTAATAAATTAAATAAAACTCTATGGTACGTAACATTAAGCGTTGTATGGTTTAATATCATACGAGATTTGACTGAACGTTGACTCAGCTTATATGGTTGGAAATTATTCATCTTAATTGAGAAGCTGAGAAAAGAACATAGACGTGCCACGCGCGCGCCGCCGCCGCCGGCCGGGCCGGGGCGAGGCCGTGGTGAGGTAGGCGGGCGGCGAGCGAGCGTGGCAAGTATTTTGCCACTTAATCCACATAATTACGGGAGTTTTCTCTTCTTGATAGTGGAGGCGAACTGATTGCGCCAGTTATCGTCCCTTCCGCTTTCCGTCTCTTGGGATTCTCCGCTGCCTTTCTCCCTTCCCGTCGCAGCCATATATCCGTAGTCCTCCGTCAGTCAAGATCTCCAGCTTCCGCAACCGCTTCCGAGAGAAACCACATCTCAGCAGCCCTCTGGTTTCTCCGCCTCGTATCTCTGCGTGCACGGAGTAGCGGGAGAGCAGGTGCCTCTAGAACCCTCGTCCGCCTGAGAACCTTGCACGGGGTGTGCGGCGATTAGGTTTTTGGGGAGCGATCCACGACTGCTCGTCCACGTACGCCATCTTTCTGGTGGTGATCGCTCTTGGAACCCGTCTTCTTCCCGGTGATTGCTTGCGGAACAGCAAGACGTCTTCTTGCTGGTGATACGTTCGTGGGACTGCACTGTGAACATCGTCTTGCATCGACTGTGGTCCACGACTTCGAGCAACGCACTATGTCGACTAGTGCGAATGGAGCCTCCGATGCCCTCGGCATAGGACCCTCCGTGGGGTACAATCTAATCTCTGTGATTACTGTACTTTGCGCTTTTACTGTATCCATCTGTATATCATGTCTGCATGCTGTAGTGTTCATTAGAGATATACAAATGTACATATATGCCGTCACAAAGCTGCTGATGTTATATTTCTGGATTAAATTGACCATGAAAATACCTAATTTTCTAACACAAACTAAAACAATACCAGTGGCTCGGCTGTTCCGGACTTCACATTATGGGATTATTCACATGTGCACTTAATTTAGTGCTATTTCATTCCTTTCTTTCTATTTTGGCAGTCACTGCAATGTCTTTGTTTTACGCCTAGAGCAGTTGGGCGTCCATATGTGTACGTCTCCATTTTCAAGTTGTCGTTAACAAGGTTTGGCCATACACATGTCCGCAGTCCGCCTGCATGTATATGCCATCTCTGTTTTTTTGTCCTTCTACATGCACATTGTCCATTTCAGCTTGGCTTGACCCATACACTATTTTGGAAGGGCTGTTAGCATATGGTGGCATGGTGCAGATTGTCAGGTTCATTAGGTTGGTCCTACAATGTTTTTGAAGGGCGATGCAAGATCAGAGGCTCTCAAGTTTTTTTTTTCATTTGCCTCCTTAGCGCCCACTATGAACATGGTTTCATCGTTTCCGAACACATAAAAATATTACATGTTGTGTTGCTGCCCCTAACTATTGCAAACATTACATGTAAGCGTTTCCTAACACATAAAAAAACATGTTTCATTTGTATTATTGCCCTTATTTTGCTTGCTCTTGCTTTTGTATTAAATTCCCCTTTTCAGGTTTATATGATCATATGATTTTATTGCTTTGATACAGTGTCACACTGACAGTATGTTTATTGCTTTTCCAAAGTGTAACATCGACATGTCTAATTCAGTGAGCATATGTTACTTATAATTCCCACCTACAAAATATCTGTACTACTTGAGCTTTTCCACCTCCCTAGGTAGTACATCTTTCTTTTATTTAGGTTTTGTTTGATGCACGTGTATTCAACTCAATCCATGTGTGTTTGAGTGGAATGAATTAAAACTTAATTTAATTCCACTTCAATTCACTTTAACATATATATAAATTGAGTTGAATACATGCGTATCTAAACAAGGCCTTAGAATATATACAACAATCTAATCTTAGATTTTCTTATGTTATCTGTGCTTAAGCTCAGATGGAAACCAACCCGCAGCGAAGCGCGGGGGACCAGCCAGTGAAATCTTTAGTTTTTCCCGTCGCGCTACTATTCATTCACTACTGTTTCATCTACAGTGCGCACGGTCAAGCCCTCCCCCCGTGCACCTAGTCCACGCTCGCAGGCCTAGGCCCAGCCACCCCCACCGGATCCTTCGCGTTCTTTCTCAGGGAAAAAAAAACTCCTTCGAGTCCAGCCGTCGCCCGCCTCGTGCCCTCCGCTCGCGTCCGGTGAAGTCTCCGCCCGATTCCGGCCTTCTCCGCCGGTGCCCGCTATCCCGCTCGATTCACGGGTCTTCTCCGCTGCCGTCCATGTCCTTCTCCTCCTCCACGACTAGCCTCTGGGCCGTAGCCCAACGCCGCCACCGCCCCTAATTGGAGATCCTCGGGGCCGCCGGCGACGCCGCTGCCAAGGTCCCGCCCACCTCCCGCTGTCCGCCGCCGCTTCTTCGTCGCCCAAACCCTAGGTGCGGTACTGACCCCTCGCGTGCGCAGCTGCTGGAGGTCGACGAGATGAAGCACCCGCTCAAGGTCGCCAAGAAGATGCAAGGTTGGGGCACCACCGGCCCCGGGTGAAAGCGCTTCCCTCATCTTCATCTCTGCCCAAGCCTGGTCCTCCCCAGGGTCGAGGTTTGCGCCTCCTTCTTCTCAGTCTGACAGTACATAGGCACAAAGAGGTAGTGGCCTGTGTCAGCAAATGGGATTTGTGTTTCACATGCTGCGTTTTGTTCAGGCAATTTGCGATGCACACTCTATACATTATGATGTGTCTCTTCATCTTCTTTCCAGGCGCACCTAGCGATTGGAATTTCGAGTGTAGGTGAACCGACAACTTCTCTTTTAGTTGCCTTCAAGTGATTCCGAATTTCCAACCATTCTACGGGTTTATTTATATTAAATAGTACTTTTATTACCTTTCTCAGGTACGATTTTTTTTTTACAATTGACAAAGCAACCATTCCATAATCTTTGCAGCATATTATTTTATTAATTTCTTGGCGTCAGCACCATTTGACCACTTTTTTGTGTTCCTAGATGCTCAATGCAGGAGAGGACGACAAATCACTTGGACTTGCACAACCGCTTAGGTTCCAAAGGTCAGAGGGAGGGGAAGGTCTTTTATTACAGGTAAAAGAAGATAGCATGAGCGCATACGTATTTATTGGACAAATATTTATAGGAATAATCCGTGATTTAACATTCCATATGCAGACCATTTGATGTTGAGTTGCTAACAAGCATCGTTTGGCCTCACATACTTATAGCAATCATGGACATATTTCATTGCTTACTTTTGTATTGTTATGTACTTTGTTGTATATACATGGTGCAGGGTCAATGAGCTTCGGGTTGTACAATTTCTGTATGGCCTATGTGATAAGATGCAACATTATACCTTAAAGAAGGTAGGAACTAAAATTTATAATTGTTTTAGAATTCATATATTAGTGATGCTGCATCCCTTTTCTATGTACCAAGCGCTATAAACGTGCCATAAAAGTGAACTGGGTTTTCACTTTTTAGAGTACTTTGAATATGCTAGGCATTTAACCGCCTAAAATATTTTTTGTATCCATTTGGAATCTGGCGAAAAAGGATGGGTTAGAGTAACAGACTGGAATAGCTTTCAAACTGGTGTTTTTTACCAGCTTTAATGCTCCTGTTTACTCTTCTGATGGCCTGTTACTATATTGAAACTTAGAGGCCGAAGTGCAATGTCAATCCATAGTTTCGAAAAATGCAGCCACCAGGTTCAGAACTTTGTTTTTTATAGTTGTTGTATGTGCTTGCATGATAGACCTATTACAAGACTTGCGCCAAAAATAGACTTATTACAGGCAATTGAGATTCAGTTATGTAAATATAGAGTCTTGGAGGATGGTGCAAAAAGAGATGGCCTTAGTAATTAATCCAAGGCAAGGAAATGAGCTTGCATTTTCTTTGTAGAAGTTAAGTCCTGCTCCCAGTTATCACTTAGTTATCTGTGCTTAATTATGTTTCTGCTATTAAGGCCTTGGGCAGCACAAGTGACTGTGCAAGTACCCAGGCAGTTAGCTGTTTAGTTAATGCTCTAATGAGCCATCAATGTAATCAATGTGCTACTTATCTCCTATATATGAAAGAGCGATGCTTTGGGTTTGTAAGCCACTGCTGATTATTTCTCTGTTACCTCCAACATTTGGTACCAGAGCTTAGGTTAGACACCTTCTCACCTTCTCATCTTCTCCATGACGTCAACCTCCTCTGAGCGCCGGGCTAGGAAGACCAAGGGAGCCACCGAGGCGAGCTGGGGCGACCCCTTCTGGCAGGCTGCGCTGAAGGCAAAGAGAGGAGGCGCGGCGGCGGCATTGGCTTCAAGACAAAGAACAGCGCAAGCATGCCAATGAGGCAGCAGGCCAGATAGCCAGAGCTGCGGGCGGAGATAGCAGAGAAGAAGGAGATGAGGAGGAGGAGGAGGAAGAAGAAGAGGAGGACCGGAGGAACCCGGCGGCCATGACTCTCCGCATGGAAAGCGCCGCCAGCATCCATCCTGCTGCGTGACCGGAAAGCGTCGTGGCGTGATGTATGAGTCGCCGCAAGGCGGGGTGGTCTCATCATGATTCCGGCAGCGTGCACATCATGGCCAATGCTGGACAAGACCAATTATTATGAGTGGAGCCAGACGATGAAGCTCGGGATGCGGCGCGACCTTGGGAAGTCTGTCGAAGGAGGCCCAGTCATATTTAGCGACGACGAGGCGAGCTCTGAGGTGATCGTCATTTGCCCAAGGAGTTGGGGCTCCCGCTCCTAGACAAGGCAACGGCAAAAGAGGCATGGGATGCCATCGCTGCGACTCAGACGGTGTGGGCGAGGTCCGCCGAAGCGGCGCTTCGGCAGCGATCGCGTCGAGGAGTGGAGAACATTGACGTCAAGCTGGCCGGCGAGCCGGTGGAGGATTTTGCCTGCGGTATCAACTCTGCACCAGTAAATGGTGCTTCATGGAGACGAGGACATCGATGAGGCGCGTGTTGTGGAAAAGTTTTCTGCGCGCGGTGCCGACCAAGCAATGCAGAGATCGTCGTTGCCATTGAGCGGTTCCTCGACTTGAGGCGCTCACGCTTGAAGAGGTGACAGAAGGCTCAAGGCGGTGGATGACCGTGAAGCGCAAGTCAGGATGAGCCAGTGTCCATCAACGGCAAGCTGCTTTGTATGCGAGGAGCGATGGCGTCGCGTTTGAGGAAGGAGAAGAAAGGTGCGAGAAGAAGTGGCGGTTCTAGTTTCAAGAACCGGTAGCGGCGGTGGCAGGGACCCAGCCCATGAGGTGGACGCGGACGGGCAGAGAGTCTTTGGCCGTGGCGGCAGACGTGGAGAAGGCAATGGCGCCGGCCGTGTTGGCTAACACGTGTCTCAACCGCCATCGGGAAGGGCATTGGGCGCGTGCGGAATGTCCCCGGCCAACCGCGCCGTGATGGAGCAGGCGCGCGGCGGGGGGAGGAAATCATGGTGGGCACGCGGCGGCGAAACCGTGGAGGAGGCCGTGGCGGTTTGAAGGGCGTGCCCGGGCTTTTGAGTGTGAGGAAGATGCAGCTCTGTTCTGTCTCACGGCTTCATTGAGATGGAACAGCAGCACGCCGGAGCTCAACTATACTGCCAGCAGTAGCGTTGAGTTCTTTGAGCCACGTCGCGTGCTTATCTGAGAGCAGATGATGAAGAGATGGTCAAGCGGTCTACCTTGATTGAGCGCAACACACCACATGACTGGGCGGCGTGATTTTGTTTTCGGACCTGAACACGGACGTTCGAGGCACGCAGTTCGGTTCGGGACGCGTCAAGGTGGAAATCAAGGCGTTGGCTCAATTGTTTTTGAAGCAAAGACCGGTGAGCATCGTGTTCTTCATGGAGTTTATTTCATTCCGGCGTTGAAGAACTCGATCATGAGCCTCGTCAACTTGATGAGAATGGCTCAAAGGTGGTGATTGATGATGGAGTACTGCGGATTTGGGAACGCAGCAGCGGTCGCCTACTGGCCAAGGTGAGGCGTGGCGCGAACCGGGCTGTATGTCTTGATATGAAGACAAAGACTGACCGGTGTGTCTTCTTTGCCTTGCAGGATGAGGAAGCGTGGAAATGGCATGAGCGTTTTGGGCATCTGAATTTTGAGGCCCTGCGGAGGCTTGGCAAGGAGGAAATGGCAAGAGGGATGCCAAAGATCGATCATGTTGAGCAAGTGTGTGACACTTGTGTCACCACCAAATGAGAGGAGGCGATCATTTCCTGCTGCTGCAAGAACATATCGTGCTCGGGATCACCTTGAATTGGTGCATGGTGATCTCTGTGGGCCGATTACACCAGCAACTTCGGTAATCGCTATATTCTGCTTTGCTTGTAGATGATGCCACACGATTCATGTGGGCGATCTTCTTTGTCATCTAAGGATCTTGCGGCAGATGCTATCAAGAAGGTGAAGGCTGCTGCGAGAGGTGGAGAGTGGGCGTAAAGCTGAAAGTTCTGCACGCGATGATAATGGAGGAGAGTTTATTGTTGCGAAATTTGCTACTTATTGTGCCAATGAAGGAGTCAAAAGGCATTACGATGCTCCTCATTCACCACAATGAAATGGCGTGGTGGAGCGTAGAAATCAAACCGTGGTGGCCATGGCACGTGCCTTACTCAAGCCGCCGGATGCCAAAGTTTTGGGGGAGGCGATGATGATCGCTGTGCATATTCTGAATCGGTCACCAACCAAGGCTCTAGGTGATATCACTCCCTATGAAGCATGGCATGGCCGAGCACCCACTGTTGGCCATCTGAAGGTGTTTGGTTGTGTGGCATATACTACGCCGTTTGTCTCATTCAGAAACTTGATGATCGTGGTGAAGCTGGAGTATTTATTGGCTATCTTTGAAGGAGCAAAGCCTATCGAGTTTTGATCCAACATCTCGGCGATGTCACGTGTCGGCCGAGATGTGGTTTTTGATGAAGGAAGAGGTTGGGATTGGACATCACCAGGTGAGCAGTACGTCTGGGCAGGTGGTAGTGATTTTGTGGTGGAATTTCCTTGGGAGGAAGAAGTCCTGGAGCTGGAGGTTCAGTCAGTCACACTCATCTCCTCACCCCCATTCTCCTCACACAAGCCTTCAAAGCAGCAGAATCGGTGCTTGATACTGAGAGAAGAGGTGTCAGACATCCGTAACGCCTTCACCATCACCAGCTCCAGCCATTTCACAAGTGGAGCACGTGACTCCTTGGAAGATGATGAGGAACGGCTGGATACTTATCACAACGACGAAGCAACATGCGCTATCGTACCATAGATGGCATATTGGGCGGGGAATGTAAAGTTCCGCCACGCCCAGCATGCATAACTTGTTCGCAGAGCTCCACCTCACCCACTGGGGAACCCATTTCTTATCAGAGGCAAAAGATGATCCTGCATGGCGGAGCAAAGAATGAAAGAGGAGTCTGCTGATTGTTGAGCGCAATGGCACTGGGAGCTTGTGTCTCCCGAGCTGGCCATCGGCCAATTTCTCTAAAATGGGTCTACAAGTGAAGAAAGATGAGAAAGGAGATGTGATCAAGCACAAGGCTCGGCTTGTTGCTCGTGGGTTTGTGCAGCA